TGTTGTGAAAACGAATCCAATAGCTAATAACGAGTGTCCGCCAGAGTGCTAGTTGGTCCGAAATCCCGAAATCCCGAAAATAGTATTTCTTACAGAGGATGAGAAATTTGAACCGCAATTTGAAGCGCGCGCGTAGCTCCAGGATTCTGTCTAACGGTAGCGGTGTACAAATCTAATATATCTGAAATCGAAAGTGCGTTTAGGACGACTGTTTACACGAGACCTCAGTTGGCGCTTGTCGTTCACTGAAATGTTCTGTGATCAGCCAGGCGTGTTTTAATACTAAATGTTCCGCTGCTCTGACCTCAATGCCACTGCCCACTTTGTGATTCGTATCGATTAGTTGGGTGGGGCTTGAGCTTGAAATCGATTGATTTTCTACTCACCCGAGCCAGGCTGGTATGTGGTCGTGTATTCTCTTCTCTAGACATCGCGTTGTTCGACCAATATATCCCGTTGCACAGGAGCAGGTGAAGGAATAGATCCGGATGGACTGGGCCTTTAACGGTAGTCCGTAAGTACCTCCCATTCGTGGAAGGGGAGAGGTAATGAAGAATATGCTTAACTTTGCCCCTGAGAGGGCACTTGTGTCCTTAGGCGTCGTCTTACCAGCTCACTTGCGGCGTCTCCAAGAATAGGCAGTCTTATGGGAGAACCCAGATGATTAATTACACCCGTCAAACAATCCCCAACCTGAGGATCCTATAAACACTTTAATTTACTAAACTTTTCTTATTCTTCGTGTCATTGCATCAGTCTGATGATGAATGACTGAAAATAATTGTTTGCCAATATTATTTCTTAATCGTAAAGTCGAAATATTTGCAGAAATACGACAAAGCTAGTATATCACTGTAGTTGGGATAGCATTTATGGCAAAAAGAAAGTTGGCCGAGGTACTTAGATAACCTAAGCGCAACCCACCATTTTTGCGCGATAATTGAAATGGCAAATACAGGAAAAAAGAAGAAATGCGCAAATGTGCGATAGGCTGAAAAGCAACTGCTAAGAATAAACCGTACTAGATTGATTTATTGTTAGCTACAGTGATATTTATGAGGCACCCTTAGTCATTACAAAGATATTGATAGTTTGATCTGGCAATATCACCAGGCTCCCTAGCTCAGTTTAAATACGGATAATCGTACGGCAGAATTCCAGGACATTTCAGCCATACCAGAATGGCAGTTTTTGAGTGTCAGAGAGAACAAAACCTGACAGTTTATAGCGATCAGACTATAGCACGCCACTCTGTCTCTCTTCGCACAAAGTACTTCAGTATGGTTGTCCTATTAATTATTATACCCCTCTCTGACTGTCCAGAGTTCCACTGTCAGGTCTAAACCATACATCTGGTGTACATCACTACATTACATAGGTTTATGTCTGTAGTGATTTAGTAGATGGTTCAAGGTCCGCATTTTGAAATTGGGTTTTCCTTTCCGGATAGACGATATCTTCCAGCTAAATAAACATCATGTCTATGTTTAAATCCATTTGACGTTAATGTACTTAAGAGATACCGTCGATCTGGAGAGGAAATCTCAGTTTTAACTTACCAACACTTTGCTGATGCCTACAGACAGCGCTACTATCTACTGATTGATAGATCTTATGGATGTTCCTTCAGGAGGACTACGCTACAATAATACTTTATCGATCTTCGTTAGTCAATTTACGTTACTCTCTATTTATAGTAATCTGTCTACTTCAACTTGAATATTGTGTTATTTTTCACTAGGACCTTCAGAGACCCTGTCAAATAATATGAATGTATTGAACCATGCATGTACAAACATACGGAAAATGTTTATCAGCTACTATCGCTTCCAATTTCAGTCTTTTTTAGGATTGACCAAGGACATTCTTACCCCTAGCGACATTACTGCCGTCTTGCACCACAAACGTTTTTTGCATCATCGTAATTCACTGCATGGACTTGAACTTGTCCGCCAAGTTTTAGGACAAACAGGAGTCGCTGTCCATTTAAACTGCGTACATGAACGATAGCCAACTTGCTGTCTGTTTTTTAAAAGTTCCACTTCTCTTAACCTATTCACATTTGGATTATATCCTGTGCTACTTTGAGCAGAGGAAAGTTATCGGCAAAAACAGAGCTGACTGGAATCACTATTTATGATTTATAAGTCGTCATCAGTCGATCACATCCAACCTGAGATGAGCCCACCTCGGTCTCGTACCCACGACCTGGTTGTTAGAAGTGGAACGACCTAAGCACTGAGCTACAGGCCCTTGTATTGCCCGTTTAGATCTGGACTATTGACACTCGATGAACGTTCAAGGATCAATAACGGAACTCACTTGCCCCGCTCTGTCTTGGGTATAATTTCTCGGGCTGTGATAGCAGCCGTAGTGGCTAGTAGTCTAGGCAGATAGGATTGTCGGCAAAGACCAGGGACACTGGATTGGCCATTTCTGGTTCATTAGCCGTCGTCAACCAGTCGTAACAAACCCCAAGTTGTGCCCCACCCGAGGCTGGAACCCGCGACCTTGTGGTCCTAAGGCTTAAGCTCTAGCTATTGAGCCACAAGCTTGTTGTTTTGTCGGTTTAGATAGAGAGATATTTACGCTTGCTGGTGAACGTTCATCGATCGCTAACGGAACTCACTCCTCTGCCTACACTACTATCCTCTCTGGCAGGACACGACGGTGATCCCCAGGGCAGAACGGGAAGAGTGAGTTCCGATACTATGATCAGTGAGTGTTCATAGAAGAATGCCTTAAGATTTGCCTTCAAAGAGGGCATTTCTAAAACGTTTTTGGCTAATTCGAGAATTAGGTGGCTAGATTTTTCACGATGGAGAAAAATAAAGCCTCAGCCCTAAAGCCAACCGGACGCAGGCCTAACTAGTGATTATATTGTGAATCAAACAGAACGAGAGAAGTGGGATACATCCTAGTGCGCTCGTGTACGTAGTCGCGAGAGGCTAGAGGTTCGGCGTTGCAACATGCACTCAGAGTTTGGCCAATACAAGCTCTACTGAGCGTCATCATCCTTCGACGCATTGTTTTAATTAATTTTAATACTTGCAGTCTTCTTCCTGCGTCTCTGCTACTTGGCTCTCCTGTTGTATGCCCTACTTTTATGGCAGGACAACGAGCAGCAGGAAATGGACGCCACGAAGAACAGTGATGTGCAGCAGCAACAGCAGCAGAATCCGCATTTGTCCGCCTGGCTGAACAGCGAGGCATGTCCCTTCGGCTTTCAGGGCGGTGATTGGTTACTTCCGCGGCTTATGGTTATTTAATACTATTACGTACTTTAAACATCACGAACCATTTTTTGCCGAAGAAGGACACCTCTTAGCAGAGTCTCCCTCCAGGGCACCAAATAATGCGTAATTGGGCGGCAACACATAGCCTGACGCAGGATACCCAACGTCCTCTCTTCCCCAAATTATTTAAACGCCAGGCGAGATTAGCATAACAGGCACACCCCATAGGTTATCCATGCAGAGAACTGGTACTTTCCAAGTGTGTCTGTGCATGGTTTGGAGATGCTGTTTTCTGGATGAAACATTAATACACGTTCAAACGCGATCTACCTAAGTGCGTGGCAAAATGGAACAGTATTTTCTGCAGCAGTGTTCGTAGAATTACCCAGTACCAATATATTTTCGTAAAAAAATCCTCTTCGAGAACTGGATCAAGGAGTTTACTGGTAGTACGAAGCAGAGAGAGCTTGCACGCAAATTAGGAGCGAAAAGACGAGAACCTAAATGCAGCACTGACGAAAGAGGCTTAGTGGCGTTGAGGCAGCTTAGCAGTCCTCGAGGTCGCAAAAACCATATTGTCCACAACCGACGGCGAAATTAGTCTTAATCAAACAACCTTAATCCGTGGCACTAGATTACTCGTTTTCTTCACTGTTTACTGAAATTTGTAAGGAGTTTATTTCTGCTGCAAAAGGGCAAATGAGTTAGGAAGAAGAAGAAGATTCGATCGCCAGAGCGAGAAGCTTATTCCTCTGATGATTCCGATTCTCGCCCGAAACCATCATCAGACATAGTCATAGAAAAGGATAAGAGAGGCACACGGAAAGCAGTATAGCTAGGATGCAATCGCCAGGCGACCGCGTGGGTAAAATAATTAGCGGCTCTTGAATGCATGACTTGAGTCCGTAATTGATTCGATAATTGTTTGTCGGTCCGTGCCCGCGTCTTAAATCGCCACCGTAGTTGATCCTTGGCGTAACAATTACTCGACAATTCGGTTTACTGTCTTCAGAACTGTTTTTCGTCCGAGCCCTCCCCACGAGGCTAAGAACATGGTCTAGGTAAAATCGCAGCAGCGAATAAGGACGTGGGAATTGGTGGCGGGCGATAATTAAAAGCAGACGCTATTACTAATGGCTCTGCGACCGCCACGGTCGCGGT